TCCTGTAATATTCAGCATCTCCATAACAGTGACCACTAGAAAAATGCCTCTCTAAAGCCGTGATCCGTAAACACTTGTTGAAGAACTTAGTAATGAATTGTAAGAATGACTCACCTAAGCAGAGGACTTAGCTTGCAGGCACACAGAAGACATCCTTACTGAAATGTACTCAGAGGTGAGGAATTTCCCCCCTCCTGCCCTCCTTCTTTTCTCCTTTCCTTCCTTCCACAAACAACCATCGACCGTCTGCTTTATGTCAGGCACTAGGATTGACCCTGGAGCTGTAAGAGATTTGTCAGACATGAAGCTTTCGAAATCTAGAGTCTAATAGATGCGATTAATGAGCAAATCAAAGGTAGGGGTACGTGTGTTTTGTTGTGTGGAAGGATCTGCAGACAGTACAGCTAGACGAGGGGACTCAGCCGAGGCTGTGTGACATTGAAGAATGAGTAGGAGAGACATGACCTGGGACCTGGGTGAATGTGTAGGTGAACACGAGGCAGTCTTGTAATTGGGTCCACCAATTGAGAAAAACAGAAAAGGGAAATCTGGCCAGAGTTTTCCATTTCTGGGCAACTACCATCAGTGTTATAGAAAACATTGTTACATTAAAATTCCCAAATCTACAAAGGGTCTGACAAAGCTCATATTACTCTCTCAGGTAAGAGCCAAAAATGTCAATTCCCTAATAAAATAAAAGCTGATTTTATTTGTCTGATCTCTATTAAAGCCAGTTGAAATGATTTATTGATTTTTAAAGAAAAAAAATATATTTTAAAATGCTGCTTTTTGGGGGGCAAGAAACTTGTTAATAGATGTGGAGCTCTCATATACCCCAAATGCACTTCTAGTTACAAAATGTTAACAGTCTTGAGAAAAATCAATAGAATAATCAGAAAACTCATGCAAAGATGAATAAGAAGCAAAACAGTTCTATATCTTGCCATCAGTGTTATTTTTTTTTCTTAATCTTGGAGGTTTGCAGCTTGTTTATCTGAATCCAGATGCACCCTAATGTTTTATTTTGCAGTGCCGTAAAATTTGAAGTTAACACAAATAATAAAGAATAACCCTGAACACAGCAAGAGTGATCCAGAAACACTGAGCGAGGTGTGGACAGGCTGAGAATTCCCCACCCACTCCCTGGGGCTTGGCGTGCTGATGCTGCCCAGGTTGGACAGCCTGGTCCTGGGTGGACTCTGGCAGAAGTCTCTTTGGACTCGGCTGCTGGAGGAAGTTTCTTCCTCCCCAATACCTTTCTCATGTCAGATGAACAGATGTGTGCATTTCGCCTTTCTCTTTTTGACTTGGTTATTAGGAAGGTCCCAGGTACAGCCCTTGACCTACATACAGCTCTTTCCGTTTTCATCAGCTACATCTTTGTTTCATTAGATTCTTTGAAAAGAAATACCTAGGACATCCGTGGCTTTCCTTGAAACTGCTTAAAATCTATGGAAGTAGAAGAGTTAGAAATAAGGAATATGACAAAGAACTGTGGTATATCACAGGAATATAATAATAATTAATAGAACACTAGATTTTTCCAAGTCCTCTATGAACAAGGACCATTATTGAGGGGATAGACCCATGCCTTTAACTGACACAGGCAAAGACCTACATATTTCTGTTTTCTATCTGGGTAGAGCAAGTAAGTATTTCAAATGAATTTGTATGGTGATATCATAAATGATTATTACAAAATATTTTCGCTAAATTATGTTACATATTAATATTAGATAATGTTATGGTATGCATATTATTATTGACATAATAAACCACAATTAATAAGTCATTGCAAACTGTTGTGACACCTGTCACCAATTTGGGTCATAGGAGAGAAACCAGATAGCACTACTTGAGTAGCTGAGAATGCATTTCCATAGGCCTGGGCTGAGTTCCACCGATAGGCTAGAGCTCCTTACTGGTAGCTGGTGGTCAGGAGTCCTGGGCTCTCAGCAGAGGACACATTTCACTAAAGCAAGATTAGGGAACCTAAATGCAACCACTTTGCTGAACCAACTCTGTATTATTCCAGCTTCCTATTACTTAGGATTTCTTTCAACAGTAAACCGTAGACATCTTAACTGAGTATCTGAGCTCCACTCGTGGTAAAGGGAAATGTGACGACCCTAACAATATGGCAGAGTGGTGAGGGAGGCCGGTGAGCACGGCTTGCACACCATCTAGCTGGGGTTTCTCTGAGCCTTGGTTTCTGCCTCAGAAAAGAATTTTCAGAGGGTATCTTAGCTGAAGAGTGCATGCATTTCTTGGTCGGAATTCAGCTAAATTGAGGTGCTTAATAGTGTCTTCTAGGCATGTAGTGATGTGTGATGCACTTCGTCTTGCTCTAGTGTGGAGAATATGAGGTGCCAGGGCCCTTTTTAAACTACAAACTGGCCTTGGATTTGGATACTTAGTGAGTGCTCAGGAGAAGGCCCTCTGTTTATGATGGACCCCCTTTTGACCCAGTGTGCATTTTGACTAGTTTCTCTTTTTCCTTTGAGAGAGGATAGAAGGGGTGAAATCATCCACTCTCTCCTACTCCCTCCTCTTCTGGTTTTTGAAGTAAATGCCATGATGGACAGGATTCCTGCCAATAGAGTTCATTCAGCGCAACTGCACCTAGTGGTTAAGGATGTAGGCTCTGAAATGAGTCACCGTGCTCCTTTCCAGACCCACTAGCCATTTGCTGTGTGACCTCGGGCAGATTATTTCACCTCTCTGCCTCAGCCTTTTCAAATGGAAAATGGGGAAAATTGATACTACCTCTTAGAGATGGAAAGTGCAGAGCATTTTGGACAAATATCTGATACATAGGAAGTGCCCAGTTACAGACAGGTATTCTTGTTTCATTATTGTGTTTTAGTAGGAAAGAAGCTCTGGCCTGGCTCCCATCATAACTTTATTGTGACCTCTGAAAGGAGCTTGTCGACAGGAAGAGTACAAGGGGTTCCCTGAACCCCCATGTGAACCAGAAACGTGGTGTTTAAGCCATTCCTTGGAGATTGATGTTTATGCTGCCCTTATAGCTCTTTAGAGAATAAAATTACCTCTGGCTTTCAGTAGCCTAATTTAATGTCTGACAACTTCTTTCAGCTGGGAAGTTATTCTTTCCTGGTGGCTTAATTACCTATTGTCACAGTTTCAATTTAGGGTGAGGGAAAGGAAAGTGGATCTGATTCTGAGATAAAGGTTCTGCTGAAAACCACTGGTTTGGTCATGGTCACTGGATTGTGCAGGGCTTGGTTAGGCAGCACTGAGGTGCTGTGTCTTTTAAGTCAGGGTTCTGCAGGGACCCAGGGTGCTCTGTATGTCTGCAGGGAGTCCAGGATGGATGGCAGGACAGGTGGCAGTTAGCGTGGACCTCAGTACTGGTCTTTGCACTGCCACCCAATTTAGCTGAACATATTTCCTCTTTTTTCTGCATTTGCATGAGAGAGTGCACCAGGAGGAAAGAGCCTCCAGATAAAAGACAGATTTGAAAAATAGGAGGTCATATCTGCCCCAACAAGCCACCTGATATGGCCTGTCTCTCAGCAGCTGACTCTGTTGGCTTGAGTCTCTGCTCCTCTGTGAAGCCTGTTTAAAAGTGGCTGTGTGTGTGTGTGTGTGTGTGTGTGTGTGTGTCCCTTTGCTCACAGTGATGATAGGAGAGAGAGGTTAAACAGGAAGATTTACTGGGAAAGGAACTTTATAAATCCAAAATATAATTATTATAGGACTGGAAAGGCCTCCTTTAATGTGTTTGGGGGCGTATTCCTGACCCATCCTTGTGTGGGTGGGCCTCTGGGAATTAATAGGGGCTTTTCATCTCTACCCTTCACAACAGGGTGGCAGTGACTGAAACCCAAGGTTGAGAGGAGAACCATTTGGCACACCCTGGTCTAATGAAATAGGTTTGAAGGGATATTGACCAACACAAAGGGGGTGAATACAGATTGTGCACAGGAAGATTTACACCTGCCGTGCTCTGTGCAAGAACAGGCCTGGAAGGCCCTCCTCGAACCTGCCCCAGGTGGATGTCAAGGCAAGGTGCTCAATCTCACTGAGTATATGTCTTTGCCTCTGACAGACAACTGCGTGACATACCGACTTGTAAGGAATGGCTTCCAAGGTGGTGACCTTTGAGCACCAACAGGCTCAGAAGGAAAGTCCTCTGCCAGCCCGACTCCAGGATGTGGGTCTCAGTCCCTTCCCTTAGCAGGGGCAGGCAGGAATGGGGAGCATCACTCAGGACAGTGTAATTAGTCAAAAGAAGTTGTCCAAAAGTCACATTCAGATGGTGTGATTTCTCCCCACGCCGGCAGCAAGTTCCTGATGGATGTAAATTTCTTTCTGGACTCACCAGTGGTTTTCCCTGCTGGGCCAGTCATTCAGCCTGAGACATTTCAGGTGATGCTGAGAACAGCCTTGATTGTTTGTGATGTATTGTGTCAGGCACTTTGCATAGTTACCTAACCTAATTCTTGCAACCACCCTGGGTGGTGAAGTGGCATCTCCTCCACACTACTGATGAGGAAGCTGAGGTTTAGGATTTATAGGGCTCATTGATCTGTGGATCCAGAGTTAGAACTCACCTAGCATGAATTGTTCAATATGAGACAGGAAACTAGATACCACCCCATACTGCTAAAATAAAAAGGGCCTTAAACCAGGTATACATATTGCAGATTGGCCTTAAGGAAAAAAATCTCCCTCTCACCTTCTGCTGATAGAACCTCTCACACACATAGCTCCAAAGACTTTTTTTTTTTTTTTCTTCTTCTTCTAATTGTTTGCTAAGCCAAAAGCAACCGGATCCCTTGAAATGATACACTGGCCACAACGGCTCCATTCCTCTCATGTTGGCCACTGGTCACAGCAGACTGTCCTTTTGTTGCTGAGTGATGCTGAAAGTGCCAGCGAGTGAGTGATGAATGCCTGTAGCTGAAGGAGCAAGGGCTCTTAGTGGAGAGAGCCCACCCGTCTTCCCGCATCCATGCCTGGTCCTCTCTTCCCAGGGAGGCATGATCGCTCTGCTGCTGTCCATCTTGTGTCTGGTGATGATCCTGTACACCCGGAGGCGCTGGTGCAAACGCCGCCGGGTCCCCCAGCCGCAGAAGAGTGCCAGCGCGGAGGCGGCCAACGAGATCCACTACATCCCCTCGGTGCTGATCGGGGGCCACGGGCGGGAGAGCCTGCGCAACGCCCGCGTGCAGGGCCACAACTCCAGCGGCACGCTGAGCATCCGGGAGACACCTATCCTGGATGGCTATGAGTACGACATCACAGACCTGCGCCACCACCTGCAGAGGGAGTGCATGAACGGAGGGGAGGACTTCGCCAGCCAGGTCACACGCACCCTGGACTCCCTGCAGGGCTGCAATGAGAAGACAGGGATGGACCTCACACCAGGTGGGGGTGAGCGCAGGCGCTGTGTAGTCCTCGGTCTCAGGGAGCCCCAGAGTGGGTAGGAACAGCTGTTTGGCAACAGCTGCTTGTGTTACAAGGTGGAATGTGCCAATGCCCCTTCCCGGGGTGGGCAGAAATAGTCTGTTTCCTGAGGTGTCCGGAGCTATTTTCTAATCTGGAAAATCAGAAGAGCAGTATAAATTGGACCACTTCCACTTCTTCCTTGCACTGGAAGCAGAGGTACCTTTGCATCCAACAGAGGAACGAGTTAGTGCCTGTTCAGTGTGTAATGAGCAACCCTCTGGGAAGTAAGGTAATTGTAAGGAAAACCAACATGTTTTGATTTTTTTCGAATATCATATATTTGCATAGATAATTTAATTCTCCAATACAGTGGAAGGGACAGTGCTATCTGTTCTCTTTTCTGACCCCCAAGACTTGGCCTGGGGTGGTTTAGTTGTATTACCTTGTCCATGCTTCTGTGGTCTCTACAGAGGATGTATTTTTTCAAAGAAAATGAAGGAATGTAGTCAAGGTATCAGACCTCAGATGCTTTGTGTATGTACAGAGACACTGGTGGGACTTAGACTTAATCCAATATAAGATCAGGGTAAAAAATGAAAATGCAGAGAGAGAAGGACTATTTTTTACAGTAGCCCACCTGTCTCTCTCTCACAATGCTATGAATAAGCCATCCCCATAGATAAAGGCTTGACAACAGTGATCGTTCAAGGCACTGCCCAGTTATCTTCGTGGAAGACATTTTTTTTTTTTTTTACAATATTCGATGCTGAATGCTGCTTATGATACAGAATCTTTCCGTGGGGATTGAAAGTGAAATCAGATAGAGGAAAATGGAAATTCTGCTTGTTATCTAGAGGTAATTCTACATTAACAAGCATTTCCATTTATATTTTTTTAATTTTTGTGGTATTGGGTCAAACCCAGGACTTTGTACAAGGGCTTTACCACTGAGCTACATCTCCAACCCTGAAAACAACCATTTCTTATGAGATTTAAAGTCTGAGAACTCTTTGAGATTGGGGAGGGGGGGTGTCCTCAGCATCTCTTATATTCCCCACAGCATCTAGCATAATGCTGAGGCCACCAAGTAGCCATTATGGTACTCAGGGTTACAAACTCAGGTGCCTTTAGGGGGCGGACAGATCAGACAACAGGATCTGGAGGTCAGAAAATAGAGAATGGTATAGACTGTGATAAAAAAAAGATAGGGCACGTTCTTCCCGAAAGCACACAGATTCAAATTATTTGGCAATTCTGTACTGTCCCTGCAGTCAGTTTGTAACCAAAGGGTGACAAGCGGTGAACTTATCAATACGGAATTAGTTGAATTGGATTTTCAGTTGTAATCCTCTTACTTCACTCCTCCCAATTCCGTAGCCCCTAGAAATCAAAGAGGAGAATTTTAGTTTCTGCCAGTCTCTCATTTTGCAGTTCCTTCTTTCATTTCTGTGAAACCTCATCTACTTGGTTCATGCAGATTTCCTTGCTCTCATGCTCTTCAGGTCGCTAAAATTTTTGCCTCGACTTTTCTCTATACAGGAAGTGACAATGCCAAGCTGTCGCTGATGAACAAGTACAAAGATAACATCATTGCCACGAGCCCCGTGGACTCCAACCACCAGCAGGCCACCCTGCTCTCTCACACGTCCAGTAGCCAGAGAAAGCGGATCAACAACAAAGCAAGAGGTATCCCACCTGGAGCTGGGGCTTGCAGGCAGCTGGCTGCACGTGGGCAGAGCAGGGCTGTGGATACTCTTCACCCTCATCTCATGTGTGACCGAGTGCATGTGCCCTGGCTCAGCCTTCTAAAAGTCAGCTAAGTGTCACTTTCCCCAAAAAAGATTAATATGCAAACCTTTAGACCAAGTGTTTCCACCAATAGGAACCTATGCTTAGGAAGCAATTGGATGAGGGTGCAAAGAGGTACATAAAAGAGAGGCCAAGGGAGAAATCAAAAGGAGCTTAAATGTCCATCAACAGGGAATTGGTTAACCACTTGGCACATCTGTCTCCTGACCAGTAGCTTCCTATACGGTCATTTTAAATGATAATAAAGATCTATATTTGTTCATATGGAAAGTTGCCCACCCATCTATTTAATGAGAAAAAAAATGAAGTTATAAAAGAGAAGACAGAGCAGAATGCCATTTTAAGGAAGAACTAAGAACCCTTTGCCTCTTTCTGGGGTGCAGGACTCCCGTGAGGACTGCTTTTCCACATCTTCACAGTCGTGGATATCAGGAGGCCCCAGTCCCTGGCTGCTTCTTCCAGATTGCCAGTCAGCTTGCTCTCAGATTCATCGATTTTTCTGTTGAGCTTCCCCAGTGACGTGGTGTCAGGAAGGAAAAACTGAAAACGTTGTCTTGCCTGTGCTTCATTTCAGCCGGTTCCGCCTTCTTGAACCCTGAAGGGGATTCTGGCACGGAGGCAGAAAATGACCCTCAGCTGACCTTCTACACGGATCCCTCTCGCAGCCGGAGGCGCAGTCGAGGTAGGAGGGATGGAGGGGGGCGGTGCAGGTGCAGGCAGAGGGAAGGTGGGGCCAGTCAATGCAGCGAGAATTCTGGGGCCAGGCCTGGTGTTTCCTTCTGAGAAGAAAGAAGAGCCTAGAGTGGAAGTTTTCAGAGAGTTATCTCTCCCAGATAATGGCACTCTCAAACAAGTTTCCAGGTTGTTTGAAAGGCTATTTCTTGGTCAGAAGACTCTCAATTCCTTCTGGAAGCCTCAGGAGTCATATTTTGGTGTTCAGAGGAAAAGAAATAAAGTTGATAAATTGTGTTATATGTGGAAAATATGCATAGTCCCCGCGTTAGCTTCTCGTTGCTGTGACCAAATCCCTGACAAGAACAGCTCAGAGGAGGGAAAGTTTATTTGGGGCTCACAGTTTCGCAGGATTCCGTCCACAGTTGGTCAACTCCCTTGCTCTGAGTCAGAGGTGAGGCTCAGGACAAAGGGTGTGGCAGAGCACTGCCGGCTCATGGCATTCGGGAAGGGGGAAAGGGTCCAGGGACAGAATATGAACCCTAAGGGCACATTCCCCAGGGACCCACCTCCTCCAGCCACACCCCACCTGTTACCACCCAGTGCATCAAGTGGATTAACCCACAGATTCGGATATAGCTCCTACAGATCTCATCATCTCACCTCTGAACATCCCGGCATTAGCTAATACGTGATCTCTCAGGGGCACTCCATGTCCAAACCACAGCAGTCCTGCACCGAGTTTGCTCAGCCCTATTAGCCTGGGGATTGAGCTAGGCAGGGGTTGGGGGTAGAGGAGCTGAAGAATCCTACAGCCTGAAAAATGTGTAATTTTCTTTGACCTTTAATTCCCGACCCAGTAGGCTCTGTCATAGTCTAGGTTTAGGCCTCTCTTCCCTCCTGGCAGAATTTAGGTGGCAAATTCTTTGTCATTGGCAGTGACAGAGCTGTCCTTCTAAGCAGCCACTCGGCTCTGCTGTTTAGCGCTTTGAGATGTGACTGCTGCAGCTGCAGCTGCCACTGTCTGTGACTTGGCTGGTGTCACCACCATCTCCGAGGGAGCTGTGTGCTCAAACACTAGTGAGCGCCCTGCTTCACTTGCTGTGTGATGCTGGAGAAGGGCGCCAGCTTCTCTGAGGGTCGGAGTGGGTTGACAATACCTCACATATTGGGCCACTGTCAGGATTGAACTATATTAAAGGGTGGGGGATTGGGGCAGCTGCTAAAGCACTGTGAAATCCCTATTGCTGCTGTTCCGTCTCTCCATTGTGCAACCTCAGGTTTCTGTGGTGCCCCCTCTTAAAATCTTGGACAAACTCCTCTTGAGATGTAAGGAAGGATGAGTGACATCACTTTGTGCTATGCTCATGAGCATTTTTCCACAGTATTCAACCAACACCCCCAAAAGACGTATGTTTGGGCTCAGTCCTTCTTCCACTTCAATCTCTCCATGCAGGGGGCATTCTTTCCAGAGACTGGAAGAAGCTTTTAATTCTAAATTCTGGCTTCTATAGGCTTCACACCATTAGCATTCAGTTTCTCACCATTTTCCTGAATATATCAATGGGGCTTTGGGCAGCTTAGCTCCCAAAGCAAGCCTCAGTTTCCCTGAGTTGAGAATGGATGACGGTGTCACCCTCTCCCTTGTTCCTCATTGTGTATTTATAGAGCAGGTACTCAACCTGAGCCTCTCCAGTCTAGGCCACCACATCCAAACGGTGTGTCCTTCTTTCATAAAATCTTATTTACGAAAATCCATGATGATGATTTAGAATACACTCCTTAGCAGCATAAAATTCTTTCTTTTTAATGTCAAACTCTCCTTAGTGCATCAACCGTCTATTGCTGTTAACTAGACTGTAAGCATCTTAGGGGTGGAACACGCCTAAGATGTTATTATTTATTTTTTGGAAGTGTCTAGTAAAGGATTCTGCTTTTAATGCATGCTTGTAAGTGCTTGTTTAATTGGACTGGAAACATTCATCAGACCAGCAAAAACATTTTATAAACCTACCTGCTATGGGTCAGGCTTTATGATAGGTGGTAGAAACATGAAAACATGGCACAATGATAAGGTTCCATTTAATGGTATAAATAAAGCAAAATGAGTACTTAGAAGAGAGAATAGTTAATCCTGCCTGGCAGCAGTTGGAGGCAACCAAGAAGGAAATAATTAGAACGGGGATATATAAATTGGGTTGGACTTCCTAAAACAGAAGAGTACAGAGTAAGAACATTTCAGAAGAGGAGGACAGCACATGAAGATCCTCAAAGGCACAAGAGAACATGGCTTTTCCAAGGAAGTAAAATTCAATGTGGTAGCCCTAGGTAGGATGTAAACATAAACCTGCTGGGGTGGTAGCGATGAGGCTAGAGAACAAACTAGCTACCAAAGAACCATGCACACACATCACATGACTGGGTTGGCACTTGCTTCTGTGGGCAAATAAGGAAGCCAGGTAGGGATGCTGGATTCTGACTTGATGGGCCAGACACAGGAGTGAGTGGAGAATGTCAGCAAGTTGTTGCAGTCACGGAGAACAGTGGCAAGTGCCTGTAAACAGTGAGGACACTGCCACACTGCGTGATAAGAGCTGTAACAGCAGGGTGCACCCAGGGCTGGATGAACAAGGAGTGAGAATCTGTTCTTGAAGGATTCAGGGAAGTGTTTACAGAGTGATATTGTTTGAGCTGAGACTTGAAGAGTAGGTGTGTACTGGGATGACAAGGTGACAAAATGGCCTTCTGTGGAGGAGGAAATAATATGTGTAAAGTCACTGAGACATAAAGGATGATGGTCTAGTCTGAGAGCAGCAGCGAGTTTATTAGAATTACACTTTGAGAACAGTCGCTTAGGAAAGAAAGCTGGAAGGTCAGCAGAGGCCAGGAAGAACGTGGCCTTGACTCGGAGGGGCTTGGGCCTGCCCTCGCAGCTGGAATCACTGGGAGCATTTACAGAGGGCTGCCCTGCTCAGCTCTGCTTAGCCAAGGATCCTTCTGGGGACAGTGTGGTCGTTAGGTGGGGCGGGCAAGAGACAGGTGGATGGCTACTGCCATGATGCTGGTACAGACGATAGGGGTAGGAAGAGATGAAGAGAATGGAAGTGAGGGAAATTTGGGACACAAAAATGAAAACTGAAATTTTTAATAGCATGGTTGGCAGGAGGGTGGCTTGAAATCAAGAGGGAAGAGTTAGAAATGATGGGCTTTTCAGAATTGTGAGATCAAGCTGGTTTGACAGCCATTTGCTGGGCAATGGAAGTGAGAGCACACAGGGCTTGAGACATGGTGGCAAGTCCAGGTGTGGACGTGCCGCGTTTTATCGCCCAGGGATGTTCTGGATGTGGATCGACTGCTGAAGCTGGGCTGGGCTGGAGATCTGTAAGGGTGGGGAGATGAACTCCGTTCTGGAAGCATGAATAGGATACCTCAACTAGCAGGGACACAGGGACCAGAGGCTTCCTGCTGCCCTCATTGCTCTCCTCCTAGCCCAAGAAGGAACAGCACATCACTCCTGTGGGCTGGAGCCTCGGCTGGGTCTGTGCTTTGATCCCAGCTCCGCGCCTTTATAGATGCTCAGCCCTGGACTTGCCCTGAAGCCTCTCTGACTCTCTGTCTCTCTGTTCCTCATTGGGAGCTGCCTCGTAGTATTTACCTGGCCATCATTCAGCGATACGAACCAAGTACAGCCCTGGCAATCACCACTTCCTAAGTGTTAACTGTTGTGATGGGGTCCATCTCTTAGAGACTTGCTCCCCTTCTCTATAAAGTAGGTCATTACTGTGCAGACTTATAGGTGTATTGTAAGGAAGCAGATATTAAAAATAATGTGTGTAAAACCCAGCACAGTGTCTACCATAATGGATGTGCTTTATTGCTATCAATAAGAAATTATCAACATAGAACAGAAGAAAATTGCAAAGGACCTATATGTTTCATCAACTTGCTCACATCTATTCTGCTCCCCCCCACATAAAAAATACCTCCTCGGCTTACTTCCATTTTATTCTTTCCACCTCCCACCAAAAATTTTTAAAAAATTAAAAAATAACCCCAAACCACAAAATAAACAAAAACGAACCCCCTCCTTCCCAGTCCCAGGAGTGTGACACCCAGGAGTGCTTCTTCTTCCCCTGCAATGACCATCCCCTCCAGTGATTGCAGGAACGTGGGGAGCTTTCTTGTGTGACATCATCCACTCCTGCGGAGCAGAGTTGCCCTGTTTTCCTCAGTCCAGGCACAGAATAGCAAGTCACCTGGTAGTAAGGGTCATCCATAGAGAAAGCACAAGCTCTTCCAGCCGAGGAAGACCCCCCCCCTTTGCACCATGGAGTTTGGGCCTGTTCTAGAGTGCCCTCTGTGGACAGCGACAGAAGTGCAGGGTGGGCTGAGCTCATGGCTGCCTCCTTGGGCAAGAACTTGGAGCTCAGCCAGGCAAGTGGAAGAAGAGATGCCCCAGTTAGGACTTCTCTTGCGGACCTGGCCCAGGCAAAGGGCAAAGGATTTGCAACCAGCTTGCCACAGTTGACCCTGAGGGCCACCAGTTGGCCGACTTGCCTCCTGCCCTGATGACACAGGATGTCTCTGAGAATGGAGTTTACTGAGGTCAGGCAGCTGGGGACATTTCTCACCTGCTGTGGGTTATGTTTGCCAGCTTCCTCCCCTGTTTCCCAGGTGGGACCGCAAAAAGCCAAGTTGGACTTTCAATGCCAAGATTTTTTACCACCGTGTTTTCTTTTTGTCTCCCTTTTAGTGGGTTCTCCCCGGAGTCCTGTGAACAAGACCACCTTGACCCTGATCAGTATCACCAGCTGTGTCATCGGCCTCGTGTGCTCCTCTCACGTCAGTTGCCCTCTCGTTGTCAAAATCACGCTGCATGTTCCCGAGCACCTGATTGCTGATGGTGAGCTCATTCTGCCGTGAAGGTGACCTCCTGCCCCCGAGAGGAAGGCTTTCCGTTGGGAGAGGAAAGAGAAGCCAAGGGCCACTGTTCCCTATTCCTGCAGATGTGGGGGGCAGTAAACCCGAACAGGAAGATGTAGGACAAGATGGGATTGCCCGCAGATGAACTAGGGCAGCAAGTTGAAAAACAAACTGAGAAGAGCGCTTCTCATACCCACTCTCTTTCCGTTTGTTTTAAAATAAGCCTCTGTCTTTGTAGAGAGATGCAGAGCTACCGTGGCTACAGGTAGGCAGACATCAGGACTCTCTCAGCCTTTGGGAAAGCTCAGTAGAGTACTAGAGGTGTTTAAGGATTAGCCATGCTTGGGTTTGCTTTGCCCAGGTGAGAAATTCCTAATTGCCGTAACTTGCTATAAGCCGAGAACTCGGAAGCAATAATTTACTTCCATCCAGGGGGACCCCAATATAATGAGGGAGTAATACAGGTTCTGAGAGTCCCCGAGTCATTTAAGCCCACAGCACCTAATTGACTTGTTAATGTCTGCTCTCGCGGTTGCTGTAAGGCTGGAAACAGGTGGGGACTGCTCGCAGTGTCAGAGGGCCTGCTATTTCATGGCATGTGAAGACAGGCAGCGGGTCCCTTTTCCTTGGACGAGTGCCAGTGCCTATGGCTGGGTCTGATGGAGCCATGCCATGGCCAGCACAGAGCTGCTCGTCCCTGTATCACTTAGGAACACTCTGGCAAGATGGGATAGGGCAAGATACTGGGGTGGGGGGATATGGCTTCAAGGCCGAATGTCCCTGGCCTCACACCAGTCCACGTGACGGCCAGTCCATCTGCTGCTCCCTTGCTCTGGGCTAGGAGTGGTGGGAGGAATGATCTTGGGCCACTGGGGCTCACTCTGCCTCAGTGACTGAGGGTGTATTGTGTGTGCACCTAAGATGCGCTTCCTCTCTGTCTCCCTGCAGGGAGCCGCTTCATCCTGCTGGAGGGCAGCCAGCTGGATGCCAGTGATTGGTTGAACCCTGCCCAAGTGGTGCTCTTCTCTCAGCAGAACTCCAGTGGGCCCTGGGCCATGGACCTCTGTGCCCGGCGGCTCCTGGACCCCTGTGAACATCAGTGTGACCCCGAAACTGGTAGGCAGGAGCACCGGGCAGCGTGTAACTGTCAGAGAGATTGTGCCTTTTGCAGTCCTTCCCTCGAAACTCAGACCCTGACTCCCAACTCCAGTGTCCCATTGTCCTCCCGAGCCTGGACCATACCAGCTGCCAGCATGTCTTGGGGCCACTGAACATCAAGCTGTGCGGTCACCTTGCCAAAGCCTTGGCAGGATCCTCACTGCAGTCCCACTCCAGAAAGACCAGTTTAGGATGAACTCCATACTCTGTCCTGCAGTCAGTGGCACTCAGCTGCTGGGGACAGATACATGGAGATAGAAAATTAATGCGTGTTTATTATAGAAAATTTGGAAATTTTTCTTATAGAACTAAATGATAGTCAACTATATTTCTATCTCTTCCATAAATCACTCTTGAAATGTTCATGTCTTCCTTTCCAATCCCTCCTCTCATAGATTTTTTTTTTTTTGAGGCTTCCTAGAAGCATACTAAATCTAGGGGAGTTTTTGCTTTTCTTAATGTTCCATCATGAGAGTTTTCCAGAATATGAAATAATCCTGAATAGTATAATTTTAATGGCCATTTGGTATCCTTTGTCTGTCTATATCATAGCTCATTTAAATAGTTCCCTATTATTTGACATTTAGGATGCTCTAAATTTTTAATTTTTATAAATACTATTAAAATGAACATCTTTCCACATAAATGCGGGGCACATGGCAAATTGTCTTCTTCGGATAAATGTTAGAGAGGGATTCCTGGAAAAGATTACGAGCATCTCTAATTCTGCCATACCATCAGATGGGACTGGGGCATCTCTGTGTGAGGGCCTGCATGCCCACGTGGCATGAGCAGGGACAGCCATGTTACCCTGAGCTCCAGTGCATCCAGGAGCACAGACCTCTGATTCCTGATTGCTCCGTACTTTCACTGTGGAAGGGGTTCATCTGCAGTAGTCTTTACCAAGACCTGTTTCTAGTACCCTGAGTACCAGGATTGATCTTTCTCAAAGAAGTATTATGATACCTTTAAGCAAAGAAAAGCGACTGGGTTGTTGGGGGCAGGGTCAAACTATTTATACACCCAGAGATGATGCAGCCCCCACATCACACACATGGACCCACACATGCAGATGCACCTTCTTCAGGTACCCAGGTGAAAGAATCTCACTGATGATTGAGTCTAAGATACCTAACCCTCATTTCTATTGTAATCCCATGCTACATCTCTTTGGAAGAGCAGCAGGTAACTGAGACATCTGAAGTTCATGTTCTTAGATTTTAGAGTTATTTAATGTGGGCCCATCGCAGAGATTCTAGGCCCCCATATGGAAGAGAAAGTACAGCATTTCAAACATCTGATGTCTAAGACTGCTTACTTGCTGCTCTGCCCACGCTGTCAGGCAAACACCAAACCAAACAGATGGGCTGTGCACCATGCCCAAAGCTAGTGTGCTCAGAAGAAATTAAAAAGAGCTCATCTCGAGGTGGAGCCTCTCCATGCAACTGAGCTAGGCTCTGGTACCCGCACTCTCCAGCTGGTTTGGATTAGGAGGATTTGGGACAATCTTAGCTGTTAAACTCACTTCTGAGAGAAGCATGATCTCCAGAGAACCTTGGATGCTTCCACTTGGGTTTCAAAGAAGAGGAAGCACCCACAACTGCACGTGGAAAGAAGGGCTTCGGTGTCGTGTGTTTTTAGGGGTCTCAGATATAAACCGCCTCTTTATTTGACATCAACATTTGGATTCTTCGAGAAGTTCCATGACTTTGCCCAGAGTCCTGTGGCTCCCTACAGCGAGAGTCTGTGTTTAATCTATCATGAAATCAGAGCAGAAGTGGGATTAGGAAGGGTTGCTTAATTTCCCCAGACATGTCAGACCCAACATATTTGTCACTCAAAACCATTTAAGCAACAGCCATTACTGAGCACTGCCGTTCCCTGTGCCAGGAAGCTGCTTGTCGGTAGCTGAGCTTTCCCTTCAACCCTCCATTCCTTCCAGATGTCCCGTTTCTGATCCTTACTAAAGATGACTTCGGGAAGCCTCTCCCCTGAATATTTGACGATTGATGAATTTCCAACTGGAGAACCAAGGAGAAAGGCTAAAAATAAGAATACAAACCCCACAGCAGAACTAGGGTGCAACATCTTCATTCGGGGTAACAGCTGAGAAGTGATGCTGCAAAGTTTTGTTTTCATTAATGCTGCAATTGGACTCTCCCCTCCATTCCCGCCCCGTCCTGCTTCTTTCTGCACATGGGATGATGTGGTCATCCCACACGCTCATCAGTAAGAAACTTTATCGCCTCCCACACTCCATCCTAGAGCCTTCTCCAAAGAGCTGAGTGTGGGAATTGGCTTCTAGTCAAGTTGACGCTATTTTTGCAATCTTCCAGCTAGCTTACTTGGAAATGTCAGAGTGTTGGGACATGTGCTTTCCCAGCCACGCCGAGGGGTCTGCCCATATGGATATATAGGGTTGTGCAAGAGCACTTGTATACTTTTCACACACACGCACACACATGCACATAAACAAGCACACAAACACAGATGCTCCATTGCTGCAAAGGAGCAGCCTCCAGTGCCTGGAGCTCCCCTCAGGCATCTGCCCTACAACTGTCCCCAATGAGCTCTGTGTTTACCCATCATCTGCACATTGCTCCAGAGGAGGCAGAAGAAGGGACTGCTCAACATGTCCACGTACGAATCCCTCGAATCTGTGAATGTGCTCTGTTGCATGGCCGGGGAGGATGGAGGACGCACAGGGACCGGAGGGTTCCAGACAGCTGGCTTGGTGACAGAAAGATTATCCTGGTTATCTGGGTCATCCCAGTGGAATCACAAAGGTCTTTAAAAGAAAGGGGAAGGCAGCCAGGGGGATCAGAGTGATCTGCTGTAGAGGGACCCAGCCAGTCATTGCAGGCTTTGAGGATGAGGGACCAGGGATGAACCAAGGGATGTGGGCAGCCTCTGGAAGGTGGAAAGGCCAGGGGACGGATTCTCTTCTTAAGCCTCCAGAAAGGAGCAGAGCCCTGAAGATGCCCACCCTTCAGCCCCATGAAACCATGTCACACTTCTGGCCCTCAGAACTGTGAGATGATACCCGATGCGGTTTTGAACCCCCGAGCTTGTGGCGATATTTTACTGCGGTGAGAAACACACACCAAGGAGGAGAGCAAAGGTGGAGAGGAGCAAAACGAGCTCCTCTCCTTTAGAGGCCCCCAGCCCAGTTTACAGACTCTAAAGATGGGTTGGGATCCTGTGGAGGACACTTGCTGACTTCTCCATGCACCTCCCTCCACATTTACGTGCATCAACATGCTCGCCGGGAGAGAGGGACTGTGTGCTCTTAGCCCAGGGCCTGGAACGGAGTGGACACAAGCGAATGCTCTCACCTGAAGACTCTGTGGTGCCTGAGAATCGTCAGGTATACCCTGGGGATTTACCTGCCATTTCTCATCTCCTGCTGAGCACTGTGACCCTCTTCCAGCAGATCTCAACCAATAACAAGTTGTGATCTGGTGACGAGCCCTCTCATGGGGGTATTAGATAACTCAGGTGTACCTAAGTTAGGTGCAGCCTGATGACAAATCAGAAAATGCACCGTGGTCCATTGTCCCCGCATCCTGCCGCGTCGGGAGTGGGGACCAGCAGAGAATGTGTGTGACAGGAAAATGATTTTCAATGAAAATCAGGATAGGTCCTGTTGACTGAGCGCTCACTCTCTGTCAAGCCCTGGGTTTTGCTTAGCCTTTGTAACTGAAGCCTTAGAACAATGCTATGAAGCAAATAGTCTTTTACCCTCATTTTACATGAGATCAGTCAGCTAGTTACTAGCCAAGATGGACTTCAAGTTCAGGCTGCCTGACATACTGCTCACGCCAGGACACCTGCACTGCTCGCCTCTGGGAAGGGAACTGGTAGAAGAATCGTTCCCCTTCCAAGTGGCCGTTGAGAGCAGCAGCCCTCTGACAAATCCCTTTGCCAGCCACACGGTGACATTCTCTCCCAGGTCCTCCCAGGCTCTGGTCATTTGGGATAATCACCAAGCACTAAGAAGATGTGACGCAATGCCCCCACTGGATCCAGTTGAGGGTTGACTTTTCCTGCAGTTTCTGAGTGTCTCTGTTGGGGCCGCCTGCCATTCGGTTTTGTTTTGTTTTTATGGAAACACATGCTACCTGGTTTCAGTGACTTTTTCTCCGCTCCACCGCCAGCCTTTGTCCTGCCATATGGGCAGCTGTGGAGGCTCCGCACACCTGTTTAATTCCACAGCCCCATTGATTCTGGCCACGGACCCTCATTGCCCTTTTCAAGATATGTAGCTTTTATAGGTCTGCAAGGAGCACAGGCTTCCAAGCTAAATCAAGTTTTAATCTCTATCCAAGATGTTCACTGAAATCTCTTCTGTCCCAGGTCTTTCATGGGCCAGACCCAGCCAGGTGGAGATGGGAAAAGCTGCTGAGGGGCCCTGGGCCTGGCTGCCAGACGATGCAGCCTCTGCTCCTTTGCTTGCTCCAAGCCACCGCTTCTCTCTCTACCTGAACCCAGTTTGGCAGAATAGCTCGTCCCCATTTTCTTCTTGCACCTGGATTGCCCACTTGTTCCAAATGCACCTGTGCCGCCGCTGCATTAAAGCGCTTCCTTCAGGATGCACTATGGCACGTCTCTCCTCCCCTCTCAGAGTCCTGTAGGGCTGTAGGACCCCGGACCCACCTCATTCCCCAAGTCTGCATAGGGGAGGAATATCAGCAGTTAGATGTTACCCGAATCTGGATGTCTGACGGAGACCTCCTTTTTAGATGAAGCACACCCAGTTCCGCTCCATGGAAGCCAGCTGCTACCTGAAGCAGGATGACTCAGGGCTTTTGGACTGGATCTGCATTGATCAAGTCATGCCTGAGGAGCCCCAGCTTCAAGGTCATTCTTTAATCCTCCCAAGAGTTTTGTACCTCAGTGCTTCATCTGTAGGGTGGGAAAAAACCAAAGGCTCTATCCCACATACAAGGCAGATCAAGGGCACTGGGCACAAGGCGGGCGTAGCAGCCTCCAGACCCTGAACCTACCATGGCGGGCAGGCCCGAGCGCCTCCTGCAGGCACACTCTACCCTGGCAGAGCATTCTCCGTGGCCATGACACATCTCTCCCTTGGATTCCTGTGTATACCACCACAGAGCCGGCGCCTCCTGTGTTCCCCGCCATCTGTCACAGCAGATGCGGAGACTGTAACACTTCTAGCTTAGGAGGGCATCCAACACCCTTGTGGGGTCTTTAAAATTCACAGCTAACAGTCGGAGCCTGTGCTTGCACGAAACCCCTCTTAAAGTCAAGATTTAGCCGTTGGTTGCCATGGCAACTTCCCTCGTCAAGTCTGCACTCCTCTCAGTGTAGATGGCCAGACTGGTTTTGTGGAGGAATACAGAAGAGGCAAGTTTGGTGGGTTCCGGAAATGAGGATCTGGTGAGAGGCAAGATTTTGGAGATCCTCAAACTCTGGCCCCATAGGTTTGAAAATGTCTGCTTCTCTGACGGTGGGCTGCCCGTGCCGTGATATGGAGAAGAGCTCTATCTGCTGTCGGCAGTGTGTCCCCACATAGTAATGAGTGATGGGAGCCTCATGAGGAGATAATGACCATGAAGGCAATTTGAGAAGGTAAATGCGCTATACAAATGGTAGGTGTTGCTGTCATTAGGAAAATGAGGCTCTGTTTGAACACTCGGTGGTTGCTGCATTTATTTTACATGTTGTGTGGTAACTAGATATCAAATGGGGAAGAGGACAGCCTTTTTTTATTGTTGTTACGTTCCTAATTCTAGTCGAGGTGTCCAGCCGAAACTATTCTGAGTCAGAGTGATGGCTTTGACAGCCTCCTGAAGTGACTTCCTGTTTTGTATCATCAGGTTTACGCCTAATTGCCCACAAGGACAATCAGGAGCGCATCCTTCCCAAAGGGAGAAGTCTATTTGAGCCCTGGGCTTGTTAATTGGCTTAGATATCTGCATCTTGAGGGGTGACAGTGTTATCTATAAATGTAAGGCAAACCCTTGAATTAATTAATTAATTTTCCACTGCACCATCTTTGTCAAAGGCTGACTCCTTTGGAAGAAGCAGCTTTGTCCCTGGCCCGGGTAGCGTGCGGGTCTGGGGCCCGAGATTGTTCTGGAATTAATAAGGAATGAAGCCAGGCTCTAGTGCTCTCCTTCATTTTCCTTGGCCTCTTTATCTTTCCTTTTATCAGAGGGACACTCTTCACTGGCTGTCACCAGCCACCTAATTTGAAGCTGTGTTTTCCTGTTTGGCTCAGAGCTCCCTGACCATTTCTGGATACAGCTCGGCCTTGCTGAAGCCAATGAATGTGGACCCATCGTGCTCAGTAGCCTATGGCCCATGACATGAATTTCCCATACGGGAAACAGAGTAGGGACCTCTTATACTCTCTGGATTCTTCACAAACAGCACTTTCCTTCTTTCATCCACTCCTCCGCGTGTGGATTAGAGAAATTGTGGGGAAAGATGGTTGTGGGGAAAGACAGGGGCCCTGATGGATAATTGCTATAGGTCAATCTATAAATGAACCCTTGAGCTAAGCTTCTAAATAAACACCCTTGCTCAGACGATCCAGATCTGTCCCCCTTAACTGTGAGATCCCTTCATTTCATTTTTATTGTTTTTTTAATCTTTAAAAATGGAAAATAACAATCAAAGCTATTATTCTATTTATATCCCTTTCAAATGTCTCTTCCTGGGTGCTAAAGAGTCTGTGTGCCTATTGTCTTCTTAAGGCATGGCACCTTTGTTATTTACCAATTTCAGGAAGTCTCCCGCTGTTATTTTTATTTACAAATTAAATAACCAGCCATTAAAAGAGCAAACACAAGTACTTTGGTGTAACTGGTCTCAGTAGTTTGGGGTTACAGAGCACTGCATATAGAATTATTAACGGAAGGAAGTATCAACAATTTTCCTCAAGATCAACGCTAAATATAGCAATGATTGTTAAGCTTTTGGGGTCTGCTTGTAAATCAGATGAATGCCATGGAAACCTGTCTTGGAAAATGAATGCACACACATAGATAGTTTTGCATGCAATTCCAGAGGGTTCAGGAACTTCTTGGTACCAAGGGAGGAACTAATAATAATGCAGAATAATAATATCCTAAGCAAATACAGAGTTCAGATGATGTTTCTGTTTGCCTTCTCCAAGATAATTAGCCATTTTCACTCAGAAGCTAAAACCCAGCATTCCTATAAAACCATAATAGGTACATGTGGTCTCTTCTAAATGTACTGCTGTTTTGAGAGCTAGTTTCTGGCATGGTGGGGAGAAAAGGCCTGGAGTCAGCAGACATAGGAATGAATATTAATTCTGATACAAGCTGTTGACAAGTCCTCCCTTGTTCTACTCCTCAGTTTCTCCCTTCAGCATAAGAGCTAAAATACCTACATTAAAAGATTCTCAGAAATATTTGATGAAATAACTTGCACATGCCATCTTTACACATTTATCCATCACTAATAAGTCCCTGAAGTATTGACATTGAGACAATGAAGAAGAACATCTCTTCCCCCAGGGGTCCTTGGTCATTGCACTCACAAAGCACATGGAAAGGTGCTTTGCAGACTCAGGGGTTCCTGTGGGAGAGAAAATGGAGAGACGGATGGTGTCTTCATTCCTGGGGGAAATACATGAGGTGAGGAGATGTATTGCCTCCTTCATGCACCTGTTGGAGTCAGAGATTCATCTGACCACTTCATACGACTTTTCTCCAGCACAGACGTCCGCGTTAACCCGTTCACTTGTGTTTCTCTCTTTTCCTCCCTGCCCTGCTGCTAAGGCGAGTGCCTCTGCTACGAAGGGTACATGAAGGATCCAGTCCATAAGCACCTTTGCATTCGGAATGAATGGGGGACAAACCAGGGGTAAGTGAGCGGATGGCCAGTGGGCAGGTTCCTATATCTCTGCTGCCTTTCGTAGGCCAAGGATCCACTCTGTGGAGGGGAACAGAGCTAATGGGGGGGGGGTTATACTCTGAACAGTGGATGGGTAAAAACTCACTGTGCCTTTCCATATTTATACCATCCCACGGCTTTCATCACCTTTTATCCATTTACGAGTCAGGATGATGGTTCCAATTTGCAGCCTGCAGCAGCCAGCTGCGATCTGGACCCTAGGTTGGCCCTCTCCCCTTTCACACCGCTTCCGGCCACGAGGATTCCAGAGGCTGAGCTTAGCTGGTGATTCAGTGGGAGACACACGAAGCCACACAGACTGCAGTGTCACACTCTTGGAGCTTGACGAGCTTCGCAGACCGCCGTGAGTGGAGACCTGTTTCCCCAGCTCCGTGAGCAGGGGTGATGTGCAAAGCTCGCGGTGTGCTCTGGGGTGATCAAGCCTATTTTGTCCAGGTGCCCAGTTCTACTTCCCTGTGGGACCGTTGCTCTCCCCAAAGCTCTCATGGCTGGGACAAGGAAGTCACCTGGTACTTCATTTATTTATTTACTTATTTGCTTATCTTTTTAATGCAGTACAGGGGGATTGAACCAAGGGGTGCTCTCCCACTGAGCTACAACTCCAGTCTTTTCTATTTCTTATTTTGTAAAAGAGCCTTGCTGAGCTTGCCATCCTCCCTCATCCTCCCGAGTTGCTGGGATTACAGGTGTGCACCGCCGTGTCTGGCAAGGTTTATTTTTTATTTTTATTTCGTTATCAGGGATTGAAACCAGGGGAGCTTTACCCCTGAGCCACATCCCCAGCCCTTTTTTTTTTTTTTTTTTTTTTTTTTTTATTTCGAGACAAGGTCTCTCTGAGTTGCTTAGGGCCTCACTAAGTTGCTGAGGCTCAATTTGAACTCAGGATCCTCCTGCCTCACCCTCCTGAGTCACTGGTATTTCAGGCCTGTGCCACCCTGTCTGGTAGTGCTTTTTATTTTTTTACATGCTTTAATACTGACATTGTGATGACATACATAACATAAAATTTACCATTTTAGTAATTTCTGAAGTGTGCAATTCTGTGGAATTAAGTATATCCACACTGCTCTAAAGCCACTATATGTCTCATAATGCTTTTTAAAAGCAAATTTGTAGCTCATTTTGGATGCTGAGGGCCTGCTTTCTGCATTAGCTGAGTAGTGGGGGGAGGGGAAGGAATCGATAAATGCTAATAGTAGAAATCAATGGAACAGGGAAAACAAGAAGGAAATGTAGGCAAATGGCATCTTGGAGTGTCTACTTGGACAGCAAGTTAGATATGCATCTGCAGCCCCACAAGGTGGGAAAGCTTGGCCCATCTCATTTTGAACACTGCCACGGAGGACGACCGTCCCTGAGGTCGATGGTCAGCCCCTCTGTATGAGTTTGATGAGATGAAACCTAGAATACTGAGTGTAGTTCTGGACTCTCAAAGCAATAAATATGGTGACAAATGGGTGAGGGTTTGGAGAAGAGCAATAAAAATGATTGAAGAGCCCCAGGGAGTGATTTATGATAAGGGGATAGAAGAACTCAGCTCTGAGGACTTGGCCTGCGATGACTAGTCAAGGTGTGATAGATGCCCACAGGCGCTAGAGGAGGGCACATGTTCTGGAACAGGTTGAAGTGGAGGGATAAGGACAAGGGGAAATGAAGTTAGGGGAAGGAAATCGGAGTCACAGGTCAGGAAACTTGGGCAAGCCGGAATGCCGTGAATTTTTCTATTAGTGAAAATGGAGGGTTGCTCACCTTTGACCGGATTTGAGATCAGAGAGGCCACAAAATTCAGAGGAAGGTGTTCCTAAGAAGGGCCAGTACCCTCGGAGTGCTCCGTTAGGATTAAAGCATTGGTGAGAAGCCAGAGGCCTTGGCCAATAGATGTCAAGTGTGGTATGGAAAGGAGAGCTGTTCGCTATTTCAAATCTGCAGTCACCTACCTCTCTGAACCCCTGAAATTCACGTTTGTACAGTTGCTGCGGAGCCGCACTGTCGCTCATGTGATGGCTGAGGAGGGCCGTTAACTGGTTTTCATTGAGTACCGTGTTATAAAGGGTGATGGATACCGCCTCTCCCTCTCTCCTCGCCTGCAAACTTGCTGCTGAAGCAAACAACTACAAAATGTCATTTCGCTTTTGCCCTAAGTGCCCCAGTCTGTCTCTCTGCAGTGATTGGATTGGGTGGTTAAGGCTCAAGCCTCCACATCCGTGGCCTGGTAGACAGATGGTGCAGGATGGGTCTGACTTCCCTTGATAATGGCTGCATCATTCCCTCGGGCTGTGTGTAAAGACAGTCTTAGGATGTAGACAAGGGCCTCAGGGAACAGTGGGGACCCAGCACTGGTGTCCTTTAGAACAAGATGGGCTAAAACACTGAACTACAGACTGACAGGAACATTGGCCCCAGGAAACAGGCAAGGAGACCCAATCTGTCATTTCCATCTCTAATTTCCATTATTCTATGATCGCCACTGTCTACAAGGTCTCATTTTGGACACTAATAAAATAATGGAGCAACTGTTAGGAGGAAAGAAAAGCCGTGACTCTCCTGAGGATAATGGAGCCAGGAGTGATAAGGAGCCTGGGTTTATGTTTATAAAACAGCACCAGACAAATGACAGCGTTTTTTTTTTTTTTTCCTCCTCAAATGACAAGAAAAGTGAAAAGTAGAAGATGCCATGCATCTTGATTTAAATCAGGGATCTGCTGCCATGTTTCTTTAAATGATTTTCACAAAATTAATAGAAATTGGTTTGAATGCAGAGACTGTCACTGAAATTGAAAACTGCCTGACAGATTGCCAAATAATGATACGTATTGGGGTATTATGGAAAAATCAATGGGAGGCCTGATTTTCCTGAAAATTTTATTTAATGTTCCAGAGGGTGAAGGTAAGCAGCCGGTGTGTGGGTATTGATGATTTTTCTTTAGCATTCTGACGCTGCATACATTCAGATAGCTGAGCGTCCTATTGAGGTAGAACAACCAAATCCTAGGCTAGTAATAGTTAAAACAGATTCCTTCATGAAAAATCGAGGTTGCTATACCAGGAGAAAAATAGCAATAAGCATTTGGGACTTTCAGACGAGGATGAAAATTGATCAAGGACGTGAATAAAAATGGTACAAATAAATGGATGGTTCTGTGTGGCAGAGGCGTTGCACCTGCAGTTTTATTTAGCTTCTGTCTAGCTCTCTGGGTTTACCTGGTTGTGCGTATGTGTAGGATGTGTATGTATTATGTTAGGATATGCACAATCTTTGTGAGTGTGCTGTGTGTGTGAGGGAGCCAGCTTATCCCAAGAGTCCTCGTACCATAACATTCCATCATTTGTCCTCCCACTCGTTCATGATCGTAACAAACATTAGCCCATTACTCCTCGCGTCCAGAGCGTGCTAGTTTGCTATACATAAGAAGACATGGTCCCTGCTCTGGAAGAACTGATGGTCTACATAGGAAGAAAGGACTGTAAATAAATAATCATGCTGAATTCCAAGACCCATTAAAGTAAAGGTGTGAGCAGTGGTGCATGAGATTACAGTTCAAGGGCTGACTTATGGGAGGTGGAAGAATCTGCCGTAGGACTTCATGGAGAAGTCGGACTTTGAACCATTGACAGGTGGCCAGAGTGACTCTGTGAAGGGAACAGTGGGACCAGAGGCATGGAGACATAAGAAGCATGGCTTTCCCAGGAAGGGCAGATACAGTCAGAGAGTCAACGACAGAGAAAGAAGAGGTTGGGGTAGGTGAAATCTAGGTCTCAGTGGTCTTTCTACTTTATAGAAGCGTTAGACATTACTCTCCATGTACAGAACCCAGAGCTGTTAGCAGAGGAGGGAAGTTCCAGGTTGACTGTAGCATTGTTTTTGAGACCTCCAAAATCAAATAAGTAAGCTGGCATGGTGGTGCACGCCTGCTGCACGCAGTCCAGCTGCAGCAAAATAAAATAACCTGGGGGTGGGGGGGGGGACGAACAACTTGTGTACATTGATACAGCAGGAGTGGGAGCCGTTTATTGTAGGACAGGTGGGGTATATATACATTCCACACAGCTTATCTTAATTAGCATAAACTAGATACAACAGTCAACCAATAAGGAATCTCTACACTTAACGGCTCACTGGCACCACCTCACAAACCACTCCCTCTGGCAAAATGCCAGGCGCCATCCCGACTTGTTTACAGACGCTAACAGGCCTGTAATCCCAGCAGCTCAGGAGGCTGAGAAAGGAGGATCGCGAGTTCAAAGCCAGCCCTCAGCAATGGCAAAGTGCTAAGCAACTCAGTGAAACGCTGTCTCTAAATAAAATACAAAACAGGGCTAGGGATGTGGCTCAGTGGTCGAATGCCCCTGAGTTCAATCCCCGTATCCACCCCGACCCCAATAAAAGTTAAATAAGTAATCCCAAGAGAAACAAAAAATCAAACACAAAATCCACTGGCACTGTCTCAATTTTTATTTATGTGGATTCTCCAAGTAAAACAATAGTCCTAAAACTATCCTGCAGATAAGAATTTTCAAGAACAGACGGCAAAAAATGACAGAGAACAGGAGAGCATGTGTATGCGGGACATGAATCATGGGGGTCGTAACACTTTCCCAGGGACTCTGATCCTGCCAAAAATGCCCAGGAGAAGGGAGGCGGGTCCAGAAGCCGTGGGCTGAGCGTCTAGTGAAGCCCTGGCTCTGCGTCCTCCAGGTGGGGAGCCCAGGAGGAAGGTTGCAAAACCATTGAACTCGGGTCCTACTTGCTAAAAGTAAAATTAGCCTCAGAAAGATCTAAAGTGAAGGGTGGCAGATTTCTAAGGGGTCATTAAAAGAACACAGGGTGTTGGAGGGCACATCCTTGTCTCCTGATGTTGGCAACAGAATCAATCATTTCCTGTCACAGCACCCCCCACACACACCCCAGCGTGACCCAGCTGCCAGACGCCCCCGGTGGACGGGTCCTC